TTCCTTCCTTTCTCTGTGTAGCTTTGGTGCCTGTCCTGAAACTTACTCTGTAGATCAGGCTGGCCTCAAATTCACAGAAATCCACCTGCCTCTGCCTCCCGAGTGCTGGGATTAAGGGCATGCATCACCACTGCCTGGCCAGTAGAGGTTTCTTTTCTTTTTTTCTTCCTTCCTTCCTTCCTTCCTTCCTTCCTTCCTTCCTTCCTTCCTTCCTTCCTTCCTTTTTTCTTTTTTCTTTTTGGTTTTTGGTTTTTCGAGACAAGGTTTCTCTGTGTAGCTTTGCATTTTTCCTGGATCTCACTTGGTAGCCCAGGGTGGCCTTGAACTCACAGAGAGCCACCTGCCTTTGCCTCCTGAGTGCTGGCATTAAGGGCGTGTGCCATCACCGCCCAGCCAGTAGAGGTTTCTTATTGCATGCCAATGAACAAACTTGACTTTTAGGAAAGGACTCTAGACTTCTAGTTCTTATAACATTGAGCTACAGGGACCTAAGAGTTCCCTTAAGGCTCACTCTTTGCTGCACAAGTAGTGAGACTGAGGTACAAGTCAGCACTGGCCCAGGCTTACCCTTCTCTCTCATCCCAGACATCTGCCCTGGCACCAACTGCTAGTCAAAGAATAGCTCAGTGCTGTCAGGGAAGCCAAGAGCTCAGCTGATAGCGGCCATACCCAGCCAAGCATTGCCCACCTGCCAAGCAGCCAGGCTCCCTATCAAGGAGATGCTCACCTACCCAACAGCTAGGTGCCTCTCCCCAGCCAGAAAAGGTACCCACCCGCCCAGGCAGGAATGGATGTGCTATCCATTTCTCTGCCTCTGGAGCCCATGGGGCTTTTTATTCCCAGACCTGCCGCCCATCTTGGGCTCCTGGAGGCCTGGGCTAGGAGAGAGGGCCTGGAATCCAGAAGAGGATGAATTTCTTGGCCAGGTTGCAGCTGGGAAATCCCCCACTCAGCAGCTGGGCCTTCTTCCTGCTTCCCTCCTTTGCTCTCAGTCCCACAACTTTCCTGGTCTCCCTCCAAGATCCCCTTCCCCCCACCCCACCCCAGGTCGCTGGAGGCTCACCCTGCGCCTCACACCTATGAAAGGACTGAGTTTATCTAGGTGGTGGCTCCGGGGAAGAATTTCATGCTGGCAAATTCAGGGAGAGAACGAGCCTTACAGGCTTGTTATGAGCTCTGTGCAGCTGGACGGGCGGGGCCCCTGTAGGCTGAACATCCCTAGAGCACGGGCAACTGACACCTGGGCCGGAGGCTGAGGTGGTCCCCACACTGCTGCCCGTGGGCAGAGGACAGAAGAAGGCAAGGAGGCCTGAGGGGTGGAACCGAGGGCAGAGAATGGCCGGAGGAGCTACAACGGACTGGGTTGCAAAAGAAATTCAAGTTTATTCTCTGAAGCTGGTTGTGGGGGAGGGGGAGACCAGGATATCCTGCTAGGAAGAGGGCAAGGTCTTCAGGCTCCTGATGCCCATAGACTAGTGAGGAGGCTGAGCAGGAGGGCTGTATCACCAAATTTGGCCCAGCCTGGAGGGCATCCTGACCTACTGCCCTGGGGCTCGTTATTCTTGCCACCCTTGGGCGAGCCAGCCCCACCACCCTGAGGATTGGCAGACTTGACCTGGGGGGGGTGGCCAACCCTGTCACCTTGAGGATGTCTGACTGCGACATCTAGGGGTCTACCTGCAATTACATCTGGAGGATTTATGACCCCACCCTCCACGGGGCTGCCTGCCCCAGCAGCCGGAGCGTCCTGGACTTGGGGGCTCTGCCAGGGTGGAATATTACACAGGGCAGACTGGCAACAGGTCTGCGTCATCTGGGTGCCAGATATCGTCTTGGTGATGGGTTGGCAGGTATCGGTACACCACATGGAGTAGGTCGTCAGGAGACCTTGGTCTAGGGGGGGTGCGGAGAACAGGGGGTGAGGGTGGGGCACGGGTGTCGGGGCGGGCTCCTCCTCTGACCCCCTCTTTGGGTGTGCGTGCCCCTCCCCCATGCGCTCACCAGTGTTGCCATGAGAGATGAACGTGGTGCAGAAGGTCTTGTGGTAGCAGCGTTGTATCTGGTTGCAGCTCTCTCCGCTGTGTATTGACTGGCAGGTGTAACACTGCAAGTACTCTGCGGACAGAGCAGGGCAGCTCAGGCTGCGAGCGGTCCTCCAGGGCCATCCCCGAGTACCTGCCCTCACCACCAGTCACACCCATCGGCCCTCCTGCAGGAGCCTGTACCTCGAGCTACTAAGAGGAGCTACAGAACATGGGGGTCAGATAAGGTGGAGTCCAGGGCTAAGGAAGCAGGAAGGGAGGGGAAGCAGGGCTGAGAGGGACAGACCGGGAGTGTCAGCTCAGGGTGGAGAAGGCTGAAGCCTGAGGGGAGAGCCTGTGTGTGTGTGTGTGTGGTGTGGGCGTGCTGGGCTCCCGCCTTGAATGCCAGCAGCGTGCTCTTCATTACCCTGGGGACAGGAGGTAAAGTGTTGGAGGGATGCTCTGTGCAGAGCAGGAAGCTGGGCCCTCAGCTGGGGTGGGTACCTCTGTCCCTGCCTCCAGGGATCATGTTGGTCTCCTCTTCCTCCTCTTCATAGTCATCATCGTAGCCGTAGCTCTCTGGCCCCAAGTCCACATCTCCATCTTCTTCTTGGGCCCACCCTGGTGGTGCAGGGACATCTGTGAGCCTCGGATATCCAGATGCAGAGGACACACTCGGGGTCGGGCACTAAGTCCTGATCCTAACCCGCCCTCCTTTCCATATCCTTTTTATTTTATGCAAGGAGACAGAATTCTCCCCACCCCCACCCCTGCAGTGCCGAAGGAAGCAGCCAAGCCTGCAGCTGGAAAAAGAAAGGAGCCCCGGGCCCCCCCATCTTCCTCCCCACGCCTATTCCTCGTTCCCTAGGAGAAGGGGTTCCTGGACTGGGCAACCCCTTCTTGAGGTGATCCGCACCTGACTGTCCACTTAGCAGCAAGACCAGGAGGACGACCCCGAGTGCCTTCATCCTGGCGCAGGCTGTTCTGTCCACTGGCGCTGTCCTTGTCCACTGGCGCTGTCCTCACTCGGGGTTCTGGGTCTGCAGTAAGCGGGACATAGGGCATTACTGGGGGCTTCCCGTGGTCCCTGCCAGCTCTAATCTCAAACAATGGGCCTCGTATCAGTCTTCAGCTACAAGCGGCGCCAGGCCAGGAACATCGCTTCCCTCAAGGACCTCCGGGGACAGAGAGGAAGGGGAAGCTATTATATTGGCCTTGGGTGTCCTGCCCACCTCAGCTGTTCCTATTGCCTGGTGGGGACCACAAAAGGTGAGTGCTGGCCTCAGGAACCACCTGGTCCTGTCCCGGCTCCTGGGCCTCCAGGCCTCAGCATTGTCGGGCTTGATGTGATCTTGATGTGTGTGAAAAGCACCTATCACAAACCTCTAGGGACCCTGGCTGCACAGCCACAAGGGCTCAGGACTCTATCTGAGGGCCACAGGCCAGGCACCTTCCACCCGAGTGGAGTCCTGCTGCCGAGTATTCAGATGGGAGCGTGGTCTGTCCAGCCGCAGCTCTGAGACCACTCTCTCCTCTCACTTCTTAACCTCCATCTTGCTGGCCCAGGTTTCTGCTGCTCCGGCCTCTTCTTCCTTTGACAGGCTGTTGTTCCCTTAGCAACCCCCTTCCCCTTCAATCTCTTTCTGAGTTACCCCCCCCCCCAAGCCTCCCTATGGCTCCCTGCCCCTGATGAGGCCACAGAAGGTAGGTGCTGTCCCTGGCCCTCTGCACCTAGATAGGTGTTGACTTTGAGGCAGAGAGCCTTCTGGGACTGGCTACAGTCTACCTGGCCTGGCTTCCGCCTGGCAAAGCCATTAGCTCCAGCCACTGTCTCCTGCAGTGTACTTTGTGTGAGGCCTTGGACTCCTCATGGGCCAGATCGATGGCTTTGGGTCTCTCCCCGGGTGCAGCAGATCCCCCAACTCCAGAGGAGTTAGCAGATGAGAGAGCTAGGTACTGGGGAGTCCTGGTCCCTCACCTGGGGTATGGAGGGAGGCATTGGGTGCTGGACAGGAATCTGAGTCAATGTCAAGGCCTGGGGAGTTTGTGTGTCTTATGGCTTGGGCCGGCTCCTAAACTTGTCTAAGTCTCAGATTCCTGGGTCATCCACAGGGCATGGGAGAAAAGGCCAATCTCCAGGGGTCATTTGAAGCGACTATTTGAGTGCCAGCTCCTCAGATTGTCTAACCTCATCTTTCTCCTAGGGTGAGGTGACCATCAAGGGCCAGGACTCATAAAGGCAAAGGGAAGTACTTGGCATATGGATTCACAACACACCCCCATGGTTGGGCATGGTTGCGCATGCCCGGCGGGACCTAGTCACTTCCGCCTAGTCATTAAAATGTCTCGTGTGACCAGTACCCCGTGGCTTTGCATGGTTGCAGCGCAACCTTGTGATCTACGCGCATGCGTGGAATAGCCACATGGGCCTGTGTGCGCAGGCTCGGCCTTTATAAGTCGGCGCCATGATTCCCGGCTCCATCTTTACTCACGTGTCTTTCCACAGGCCTGTACACATCTGTCTCTCTCCCTTATCTTAATAAAACTCTTGTTAGTGGATTTTGTCGTGTTTCGTGATGTTTCCTCACAGGGTAAGAGCGCCGCAAATAACCAACAGGTGGTCCCTTCTGGGCTGATGAAGACACTTCTCTGATGACTCAGCCATGTGCATGCTGTGTCTCTTAGCCTCCCCTTGAACTGTCTTCCTTCCCAGCATTTGGGAACTTACCCAGCCTTCTGTTGCCCTGCACTTCTATCCCTGTACCTGTCCCTAAATTCTCACAGGCATGGTCTCTTCCCAAGCCAGGGCCAACATCTCCTCTGGTCTTCCTTCTGGTCCCACCCTCTGCAGGCCATGTGCTTACCTCCAGGCGCCAGCTGCTTCCTCCAGGGGCCCTCTGACCTGGTGAGGGCCAGGGCCTTCCAGGACTCTGCAGGGAGAAGTAGGCTTGTTACTACACCCTCCTCCCATGGGCCTAGGCTGTGTCAAGCAGTTCTCCCTGTGAGCCCAGTTCTTCCTCTTCCGGGTCCACATACACCCAGGTCTGAGCTGGTGAGAATTTCCAAAGAGAGACAGCAACCTTTAGGAAACGTAGGGGTGGTGGTGGTGTGGCCACCCTGGCTGCCTTTGACAGCATCAATACTGGAGGTACACAGTGTTCCCAGGGCTATATACATCCCTCCCAGGCCCAGCACATACTGTTCCCAGCCCTACAGGAAAGATTGCTTGAGTCTGGTCCAGCTAAGCCAGGGTTGATGGTCCTGGGGTGGAGATGAGGTTGTTTACCTGATGCCTTGGTGGCAGACACCTGCTCCCCTCAACTCTGATCCCAGTGTGGGTGGGATCACTGTGTTTAGTATGCATGGATCCTCATCCCCTCCCTGTTCCCCACCCCACCCCCATTGGAATTTTCCCAGGGGCCTGCCCTGAAAAAGTCCTTCCCAGGGTCCTGGGGAAAATGCTACGCTTGATATGGGGTTATCGGAGGGAAAGGAATCTATATACACCATGCTCTTTTGTCCATTAACTTTATTTCTCTAGGACAAAATTCTGTCTACACAGCTTCAGTTCTGTCCTGACTCTCAGTTCCTCTGTGTCCCTTCTTTTTCGGTCCTCTCATAGCCCTAGTAATAATTAAGCAATTATAGTTTTGATCTCATCCTCATCCCTTTATCCTCCTTTATCCTCCATCTTTCCTCCCTCTTCTCCTCTCCTGATCTGATTCACCTACAATCTACAAAAAAAAAAAAAAAAAAAAAAACACAACAACAACAACAACAACAAAAACTCCGCTTTTCTTTGCTCCTCACTCCTCAGCCTGAGCTGCACGCTACAAAAGATCTGCCTTATTCCTTTCTCCCCGGCCACTTGACTCTGCTCTGCCCAGGAATTCTGCTCCAGTCTTTATTGCACCTGGTTATGCAAAAAGCCCTGTTGTTCTCAGTCAATAGCTCTGCAATGCCCTGAAGGCTAGGGATGGCCTGAGCTTCATTTGCACAAGAAACAAAGCTATGCATCTATAGTCCGCCTGTCTCCCTGGCTCTGTAGGGGTGCTACCTAGTAGATCAGCAGTAGGTCTGAGCTGTTTGTGCTGTTTGCCATCTGGCCTACTAGTATATGAGCACACAAGGATTTCATAGCAGAAGACAGCTGATATGTATTAAAAGCTGGATAACATGAAATATTCCTTGATAAATGGCTTCCCTCTTGAAGGACTCCTTGGTCGATCAAGGTATAGCTTATTATATACAGCTGGATCTCTATAATATATTCTTGTGGCTCACTGCACACCCCCCTGCCACACACACACACTGCATGGCCTCTTAAGCAGACCCAAGGGAGCTCATACCTCCTCCAGAGTGAGGACATGTCCCCTAAGAGCCCAAGATCCCAGTCTAGTGGTCCTGAGATGCCCAGAGCCATCTTGGAGCCTGGGTCCAGGAAATCTGCTCCTGGATTGCATCTTCCTTCTGCAGAGGCTTCCTCCCTAACTTGAGTGCCCCTGAAAGCAGCTAGTCACCTGGCTTCTGGCTTGCAGACTTTTCTGTCTGGAGACTCTGGTTTTGCCTTTGCCATCTGACTCCTTGGGCTCTGAGGGCGCTACTGGACTCTGGGTCCCTGCCCACTTTGTTCTTTTTTAGCAGCAGCAGTCTTGGACTCAAGACCTCAGTGCTGGCTGTGGACAGGGAATTCCTGGCTACTCATGCTCCCTCTAGTGAGGCGATCAGGTAACTGGTAAGGCTGAGCAGGCAGGGGCAATATTGAGGGCTGCAAGCTACTGTCTTTGGAGGTGTGTATGGCACTATCCTGGCCTCTGGGGACACCATGGTGTCAGATCTAGAGCCGTGCCGTCCCCAAGGGTACTACTGAGAGAATTAGGAGCACACCCAGGAGATGGACACGTTGGAGCTACAACAATTGACAGAGGCAGCTTTTGGGGTGAGCGTCCACTGTCTGGGTTGAGACTAGGCCTTTGGGGTAGACATGGTCTGTAGATGTGCCAGCCTTCAGGCTCATCGCCCTGCTGGGTTCCCTCCATTCTCTGTAGCTAACCCTCTCCCTGTTCTGGCTAGGGTTCCTGGAAGCAGAGCCCAGACCCTCTTCCCCCGGGGGTAGGTGGGGAAATGAGGTGATGTATAGGCTCTCCTGGGTCAGGCAGGCACCAGTTTCTTCTTCTTGAGAACTTGCACTTAGAGGCAGCCATGGTAGCTCACCTCTTCTTTTCTATGAGCCCATGAGGGATACTTACTGCAGCCTTAGAAGCCCCTTTGTGGAACACTTCCGCCCAGCTGACCCACACCCCAGGAACATGCTGTATCCCTTCTCTGGTCCCTAGGTCCCCTCAGTCACACAAATGAACCTGGAGAGTCCCCTTTCCTTGGGCCCTGTAGGGGACAGCGGAGGATGGTGAGGCCTCACCCTGTATCCTTGGTCTTCCAGCCTCCACGGGGCTCTCCAAGGCTGGATACACAGCTGCTTCTCTCCCAGCAGCGAGTTCAGTCCCTGCTTCTCTGCAGAGGCCAGTCAAGGCCCAACTCTAATGTCCCTCACCACTGTGTAGGCTACTGGCATTCCCCTTGGAAAATATACAGGCAAGGGACACTCTGTGTCATGTATGGCATCTGGTCAGGCAGCCATCTCCCTCCCCTGATGTGGTAAGATTCTAAAAACGGACAGCAAGGACAAAGACACTCTTCACGCCCCAAATTGGCAAAGTAGGAAGCGGATAATGAAGCTGCTTCCTGCTTAAGAGGAAGGCTCGATCGAGTTCTGCGGTGTGGCTTCACAAGAGGCATCACATCCCTTGTCTTCTCTCACTGTCTCTGGTCTACAGGCAGCATTTTCCTCCCACAGAGTCTGTAACACACACCTGTCCCCCAAAACAGGGACAGTGGGAGCCTGCAAAGGAGTCGCCTGACCCACCGGCCCAGGAAGGCAAGATTGGCTGTGGAGGGGGACAGGTAACTGAGCCGAGACAGGGCTCTATGGTGAGGGTACCTGATGCGCAGGAGGCTGTGGGCTGTGGCGATTGGGACAACAGCAGCAGCTGGCTCCGGGCACACAGGGCCTCGCGGCAGAGTGTGCAGCTTGCAGGAGACAGGAGGCAGAGCTGTGGGGCATCTCGCACGGACTCTGCCAGATGTGATGATGTAATCTCAGGTAAGATGCTTTGGGTCCCAGGCCCACTAGAGGGAGGGAAGGGGTCCTATTGGGACCCAGCACCTCCTACCCAACCAAGCCCCCTACTCTTGGCAGCTCTGATTGCCTCTGGGAGGGAAGGTCCTGCCGGACTGGGCAAAGAGTCACCTAGGTGGCTTATCCTTGTTCCTCCTTTGGGATCTTCTGTGAGAAGTGGGAGAGAAAAGTCAAGACCTGCTCAGGCCTCAAGCTGCGAACCAGGACAGGGCAGGATGATGCCTAAGATCAGGAAGGCCATCTCACAGAGAGCTCAGAACAGGAAAGCAGTGGGGGTTTGTCTGTACCTCATGCAGCAGCTTGACCCCTGATGGCCCCAGCTGCGGCAGAGACCCCCCCCCGCCCCCCCCCCGCCGTGATCCTGTATGCACCACGCCCCCTGCCAGCTGCCTCAGCTTCAGCTGGGGCTCTAAGAACCCAGAGGTCTACCTTTCAGACACTGGATGCTGTACACTGAGGCTCAAAATCCCTCAAGCACATTTTAGGAGGAGAAACAAGGAGCCAGGCTGTTTCTGAGATGGCCTTGGGGTGTGGGCCAGGAGGCAGACCCCAGCTCTTCCTCTTCTCTCCTCCTGGGAGCAGCAATGGCCACTAGTAGCTTCCTGTTCCTCCCCATGTCTTGGGAGTCCAACTAAACCATGCTGGCTCTTTCTCTGTATGACATCAAGTTATCTTGGCCAGGGCCCATGCCTGTCTGGAAGCAGCCTCAGCTCTTGGCCTGGTGGGCTCTGCATGCTGCTGCAAGCCATGTTCTTTTAAGTGAAGCGTTTTGTAAGAACGGTTACTCCTTGCAGCAGGATTTACCTACTTCTAGAAGGAAAACCCTTGGGTATGTTAAATCTAGCAGCTAGGGGCACGAATAATGATTCGAAACTGGGTGGTCCTCACAGTGGGAGGGAGCCCAAAACTTGACTGGTGCGAGCTGAGGTGGGTGTCCCTGATGTGATGCACTGAAAGCCTGTTCTTGAGTTAGGCTTCGATCGGGCTCTGAGTCAATGCAAGCTGAGGACTTGAATGTTGGGGACATCTTAAGACCACATTCAGTTTGGTTCAACCTCACAGCTAGGGAACAGGTTCAGCGAGATGCCCAGTCCAGGTGCCCTTCAGTGGGGACTGTACAATGGGGACTGTGCCTCCAATCCAGGCTATGCCTTCCACAAGGGCTGTGCCTCCTGACTTTACTCTCTTGCCCACAGAGTACACTTGAGAGAATCTTCCTCATAGAATTTGAGGGCATTTCAGGAAAGATTACATTATGGAAGGCTTGGGTCCTGTCTTAGCTAGGGTTTCTATTGCTGTGATGAAACACCATGACCAAAAAGCAAGTTGGGGAGGAGAGGGTTTATTTGGCTTACACTTCCACATTGCTGTTCATCGCAATGAAGGAAGTCAGGACAGGAACTCAAACAGGGAAGGATCCTGGAGGAAGGAGCTGATGCAGAGGCCATGGAGGGGAGCTAATTACAGGCTTGCTTCCCCATGGCTTACTCAGCCTGCTTTCTTATAGAACCCAGGACCACCAGCCAAGGGATGGCACCACCCACAGTGGGCTGGGTCCTCCTCGCCACCAGCAATTACTAATTAAGAAAATGCCCTACAGCAGGATCTTAATGGAGGCATTTTCTCAACTGGGGTTCCCTCCTTTCAGATAACTCTAGTTTGTGTGTCAGGGTAGCACAGACCAGCCAGCACAGGCCCATAGCAACCAGACACAGCATGAAGTGGGAGGAGACTGGACACAGGAGAAGTTTTGAATAGGATTCCTGAGTGTCCTCTCAGGTGGTGGCTCCGAGGTTCGTGTGGGGTTTCCAGTCTACCTGGGAGAGCAGGTGCTTGGGCATCTGCAGGGTGTGCAGAACCTCCAAGTGGATCAGCTGAGCAGGGCCATGGGAAACTGTCAAGGGTCTTCAGTGTGATTCAGAGCTGGCAGGAAAACTCTGGCGTAAAAGATAAGGGGGCTGATGCAATTGCTACTTCCTGCTGCTGAGAACACATTTCCAGATGCCTAGTCACGTGTGCCAGGAGCAACATTGCAGTCCCAACAGAGAGCTCGAGTTGAAATCGCTCTGACCATCTGACAGTCACCCTGTGCCTGCCTGTCTATCTGCCTGCCTCCCTTAACTTTCTTTTCTTTTATTTATTTATTTATTTATTTATTTATTTATTTATTTATTTATTTATTTATTTATTTATTTATTGAGACAGCATCTCTCTACATAGCCTCGACTTTTCTTGGAACTCACTATGTAGACTAGGCTGGCCTCAAACTCACAGAGATCCACTTGCCTCTGCCTCCTGAGGGCTGAGATTAAATTAAAGGTAGGTACCGTCATTCCCTGCTCACCTTTGCCTTTCAATTGCCTGATAGTGTGCCGAGTTAAGAGGCAGGCAAATATCCCCCAGTGGCATGTGCCTCTGGCCATGGTGCTGACTGCCAGGACCTTGGAGGTGCAAGCTGGTTGGGGTCATGTCCTGTCTACCCTTACCCTGAGGACCAGAGTACTTGTGAGGGGTCCTGGAAATTGTGGGTATATTTATTCACCCCCAAGAATAGGGCACATTGCTAAAGGACTAGAGAGTAGAATTAGGTCACTTCTCTGTCACCTCCCCCTCGTCTGTTCCACTCTTACAGGGATGCTGTGGGCAACGAGAAACACAAAGCCAAGCAGTGATGGCCTGGAGCCTGTCCCAAACTCCCCAAGGAAGATAGGCACCTTTTTGTCCATATTGCTTGGTTTCTCTGACAGATGGCAGCGTGCTCCAAGCAAGACTGCTAACAGTAAGCACAGGCAGGTTTGTTGTGTGATCTTTCCTGGAAAGATATGAAGAAATGCCCATTCACCTCACTCAGGGCACTGATAACAGACCATAGACACCATTCCACACAAGTCTAGCTTAGCGAGCCTGTGAGTTTATTGGGGTTACTTACAGGAGCAGGAGTGACTCAAAGGCAACTGTGTCACCCCGATCCCCACTCCAGCATGGGTGACCCCTCATGAAAGCTGCATATTTTGAGCTCCCAGACTGCCCAGCGGCCAGTTCAGCTGGTCGGAGAGTCTCCTCTCCCCAGCAATGATTTCTGTTTTAGAAACTTGGGGAGGTGTCTCATGATTTTCAAGAGGCCCCTGAGACTGGTAAGTTTTGTTTATTTCCTACATCCTTCCTGCCAGGTCCATGAACTGATCCACTGGAGGGGCGGTGGCTGGGCCCTGTCCCTAACTGCAGGCCTTGGCCAAGAGCTTCTCTCCTTCAGAGGTTCTTTATTAGCTGAATGTTTGGGGGGGGGGGGCTTTTCAGCTGCTTGTGGCCACTGTCAATTTTAGGTTCCCATTGGTAGAGCAGTGAGTGTCCTGCTAGCTTCTGGAGTTCTCCTTTTGAACACAGAATCTCCGTGGAGAGACCTCAATGCAGCAAGCACATTCAGCTCAAGCTCCACTGGAGTCCTCCCTATTCCCGAATGTGCTCACCAGGCTTTTGCTAATGCAAAATTACACCTTGTGAATCTTTCCTGCATAGTTTCACTTCCAGCTTGAATACCTCACGACCGGGCTGGAGTCCAAAGTTAGTCGGAGGCATCTAGTGATAGAGAAAGTCAGTGGTGCTCCTGGCTGCTTACTTTCTGGGAGGAGAGTCTTCTGGGGAGGAAGGGCCCTGAGCAGGGAGGAGGATGGGAGTGCTCAGGAAACTGCCCTGCCACCTGCTGGCCTACTGGGAGCTTCCTGAGGGTGGAAGCACTTGCCCAGACCTACACCCCTGCAGGTGGACTCAGCCAGGACTGTGGTGCCCGGACATAGCCTTAGCAAGAACAAGATCCTTTAGGTAGGTGGGGGAAAGTCCTGGGCCACTCCTAGTACCTTGCTCTAACCCCCAAGACCGTGCCTTCCAGGGCACTTTACGACAACTGACCCAAGAGACCTTTTGTACTGTTCTTTTAGTACCGTGTGAAATGTGGGCAGTCACAAGCTCTTTCATCTCTGCGGGTTGTGTTTTGTCTGCTGTCAGCTCAGCCCATCCAAATCACCGGCCTGGCATCCCTCCACTCCTCATTACGGTGCTTTGTCTGTCTGCCAGGGCTCCTAGATACCCACAGCAGGGATGGTCCCTGCTTCCTCGAGTAGAAATGGAATTTACTGGAAGGCTGCTGAGCAGCTGTGGCTCCTTCAGGGAGGCAGGATGATGGGCAGCCAGGAATGACCCCCACACACACACAAATTCAGGAGCTAGAGTCTGGCTGCTCTCTGCCATGGTCCCTGCCTTCAATTCTACAGGACAGGTGCACTGATTCTCTTCGTAAGGGAGGCTGTGGCTATGGGGGCGTGGGGCCCCTTCTGCCCTGGCACCTGTGATGAGTCTGTGGTAGGCACAGACATCTTCCCACCCACACCATCTTCCTTTTCCAGGTTGTGATGTGTGCCATGGATTGGGCAGTTTAAGTAACTGGAGCTTTATTCTGAATTCTGGAGTCTGGAGTCCAAGATAAAGGTGTTAGTCAGGCTGTTTCCTCTCTCCCTGTGTGTAGATGACATCTTTTTCCTGTGTCCTCACCGCCCCCCCCCTTGTTGTGTCTGTCTGTGTGTCCTTCCATCCATTCTGATCTCTTCTTATTGAATTAAGACCTACCCTGATGACCCGTCTTAACCATCACCACCCCTTTGGAGGGTCTGTTTCCAAACACAGCTGCCCTCCGAAGCTCAGGGATCAGGACTTCAGGATGGGACTTTGAAAAACCAATTCTGTGTCTGCCTCGGTCCTCAGCCTCAGGGCAGCTATCCCAGTAAAGGCAGAGGTTAGGATTGAGTGGAATGTTAGGGTTAAAATGGTGATGCTGGGAACAGAGATAGAGAACTAGGCTGACCAGAGATGAGGGACAACAGGGCTCTGGGCCAGCATTGCTGGCTCTCCTGTAGCTCCTTCCCTCGAGTGTGGGAGAGGCACCCCTCAGTTCTAATACAGCTGATTGCAACAAACTGAATTGTGAGTAAGGTTGCCTTTTAAGATGCTGCCACTAGCCGGGCGTGGTGGCGCACGCCTTTAATCCCAGCACTCGGGAGGCAGAGCCAGGCGGATCTCTGTGAGTTCGAGGCCAGCCTGGGCTACCAAGTGAGCTCCAGGAAAGGCACAAAGCTGCACAGAGAAACCCTGTCTTGAAAAAAAAAAAAAAGATGCTGCCACTTACTTCAGGAAAGAGACTACCCCTGAGCACCCTGTAGACAAGGGGCTAGATATGGGGTAACTAAGAACAACCGTAGCTACATTTTGGTAGCTGTGCTGGGGTTGGCTCTATGGTAAAGCTACAAGCTGGTCATGTAAACATGGGAACAAAGATTAGTTTAATTAACACCAGCAAACTCTGCTGAGGATTAACCAGCAATACCTTCGAGGTGGGCATGTTAGCAATGCCAGTACAAGCTAATGACTACCAGACAGACAAGGTTACAAGTTAACAAAGCAAGTTAAAGATGAACAGGGAGCCACGCGGCGGTGGTGGCGCACGCCTTTAATCCCAGCACTTGGGAGGCAGAGCCAGGTGGATCTCTGTGAGTTTGAGGCCAGCCTGGGCTACAGAGTGAGATCCGGGGCAGGCACCAAAACTACACGGAGAAACCCTGTCCCGAAAAACAAAACAAAACAAAACAAAACAAAACAAAACAAAACAAAACAAAAGATGAGCAGAGGTTGGGGCTGGAGAGATGGCTCAGAGGTTAAGAGCACTGGCTGCTCTTCCAGGGGTCCTGAGTTTAATTCCCAGCAACCACATGGTGGCTCACAACCATCATAGTGAGATCAGGTGCCCTTTTCTGGCCTGCAGGCATACCTGCAGACAGGATACTATATACATAATAAGTAAATAAATCGTAAAAAAAAAAAAAAAAGGTGAACAGGGGTCCTTACAATGTGGCCACTCCCCTGAATGCCATCTACCTGCTTGGGCCAGGAGAACAGGCATGAAACAGGTGGGCTTTCTGTCATTCAGAGAATTATCCAGTCTTAATAGATTTGGCTTCAGCTTTTTGTCCAGTGTCTGCCATAGAACTATAAAAAGCCCCAGACAAACAGTTCTATGGGTTTCCTCCTCTCTAGGGCCCCTCTGGAGCTGTGCTTGCTTCCCAGAACGCATTAAAAAGGAAGGCTGACATTCATCAGCTGTGCGTTTGGCTTGGGAAATCAGAGAAAGAGCAACGTCACCCCAAGCGGGAGAAAAGATGGAGACATCTGCAGAACTTCACGAAGTGGGAGGCAGCTGTGTGTGGGGAGAGCCGGAAACCGGTTCTTTATGCTAGGCAGGGCCCCTGCTTAGAGGCCTAGGAGCTCAGGGCTTGGGAGAGAGTTTGGTCATGTGGATCAGCTGGGCACCAGGGACCTGGCATCTTCCCGTTTCTCTGCTCCACATCTGATCATGTTGTCTCCATCTGGAATTGAGTTTCTGTGGGCTGCCACTAAGCTGTCAAGGATGGAAATGCTTCTTTGTGTGTGTTGGGGGGGGGGAGGGGCACATACTTTCCAAAGATTCCAGAAGGTCCCCCATGAGGGCTCCTCAGACTTCAGTGGGTCAATAGAATCAGGAACCTACTGAATCCCCGGCTGAGGCCAGAGAAGTGCCCTTGATGCTTCTAGACAGAGCCCTCCCTCTGCCAGTGCCTGGGCTCCATATTTAAGGGGCACCAAGAGGGTCACACAAGTTTGCTGCTCACTGGATATGGTTGTTGCTCAATATTAAAGCCTATTTCCACCAGCTCCTTTTGTGCTGGGAGGCAAATTTAACCTCAGGCAATTCCCAGGGTTCTTGTTGGTCTCTGAGAGCCTCAGGTGGCACCAGGCACCAGAAGGCTCTTCCAGGTCTGAGGAGGCACTGTCCCATTAGCCCAGGTCCCAGGGAGGCTAAGCGGCTCTGCCTATGGGTCACATCTCCTGTGCTCACAGCCACGAGACCTTCCGTCTTGGGAAAGGCTGCAGCCGAGCTGGCACTGTTCTCCAAGGTCATGACAGAGGCGCCGTGGCAGCTGCCTGGGTAGGGAGAAGGAAGCTGCAGTGGCTGGGGGAACGGATAGAGTTGGCACTTCCTGCACAGCCAAGTGTAACCCCCTTCACATGGTACTTTCCTCAGCACAGCTCCAGGACCCAGCATCTCCCACTTTCCTGGAGCTCTGCCCTGAATCTGTGGCTCCAAGATAAGGCCAGGGACCCTTAGGCCTGGGGTGCATTTTCTCAGGCTGTGCTGGAGAACTGAGGCCTGAGCGGTGTCGGTGTCGTCCTTCCCTGGTGCAGGGTACTGGGGTCTTGCTCTAGCAGAGAAATAACAGCTCCTTTGCAGACACACAGAGGTGAGGAAGACAAGGTCCGGAATGGGGGTGGGAGCACAGAGGTGTTCTCCTTCACTATGCCTATCTGGTCCCATTTTAGGGGGAGCTGTTAGGCCTGAAGGTGAGCCAAGCTCTGTTCTCTGGGTCCAGACCCTCTAGGGACAGCCCACATGCGCTGTTAAGAAATGCTTATGCGAGGCAGGCGGATCTCTGTGAGTTCGAGGCCAACCTGATCTCCAAAGCGAGTTCCAGGAAAGGCGCAAAGCTACACAGAGAAACCCTGTCTCGGAAAAAAAAAAATTTAGGGGCTGGAGAGATGGCTCAGAGGTTAAGAGCACTGACTGCTCTTCCAGAGGTCCTGAGTTCAATTCCCAGCAACCACATGGTGGCTCACAATCATCTGTAATGAGATCTGGCGCCCTCTTCTGTGTACATAATAAATAAATCTTTAAAAAAAAAAAAAAAAAAAAAAAAAAAAAAAAAAAAGAAATGCTTATGCTTGGGTTCTGCCTGGGTGTCAGCTCGGTAGGAACACTTCCTGTTGTTCCCTGGGAAGTCCTGATGTCCTGTTTTATCACGCAGCTTGTGCCAAGCCCCGGCATAAGGAGACAGAGTCTCAGTGTGTGTGGCCAGTGAAGGATAGGGTGCTACCAGCCTTGATATAGCTATATGAAAGCTACCGCAGAAACACTGGACCCTCACACACCTGCTGACGTTCTCCTGGAGTATCCCCGTCTGTCCACCATCCACTGCCCTCTTGATGGAGGCATCCTGATGCTCAGGAATGCACCTCAGCTGGTGGTACTATGTTTAGGTCATTTCTCCAGGACGCTGAGGTGGAGATCAGGCTGAGCCTTGCCCTGAGCTACTCCATATTGTATAAACAATGGTTTTTATTAGGCTGTGCCTTCCTGAGAGATGAACTCTGATCCTAAGGCTTGACTTGAGGGCCTCCAGCATGGTTTGTTAGCTAATTCATGCAGAGTTTACCTTTGCATCTAGTCTCTACCTGCTTTCTGCTCACTTCTGTTAGCCTCCTGTTAGGCCTCTTTAGAAGCTGCTGAACTGGCTGCAGCCTCATTAATCCTTTATGACCGCTTTGTAACTGACATTCCTACATGTGTGAAGGTGTATTTACTGTGTGACGTATAACGTGTGGTCTGAGAGCTATTATTGGTAATTAAGACTGGAACACATGAACCTGTGTCTGTCGCAGCCAGCTATTGAGAGAAGTCAAGACTACTTGGTAAACTGAAGCCAACAGGACATGACCCAGCCGAAGACCTGGGTTTGGTTCCCAGCACCCACATCAGGCAGTTTACAATTGCTTGTAACTCCAGTTCCAGGGGATCTGATGTCCACTTCCGGCCTATGAAGGCTCCTGCACACACTTAGTGCACCATAAACTCATGTAGAGGAATTCAATAGGAAACACCACAAGCTGGGGGAGGAGAATGAGCCCACAGGTCTCCCCTAGGAAAGAGAGCAGGGGCACAAAGGCAGTCCCGAAGGGAAAGAGCCTCAGCTCCCTTCAGTTCCTAGCACCCACGGAGAGTTAGTATCAAGCACCAGGCAGCATGACAGGCCCTGAAGGGAGTGAGAAACCCTCCAGTTCCCTCAGCTCCCTTCAGACCCAGGAAACAAAAGGGGGTTCCTTCCTTTTATAGCTTCCCAGGGAAATGGGGTGCTCCACACCACGTGACCCAGCCTGTGTGCTGGAAGCCGGGTGGCTAGTGATAAAAGTCTAGCTATAACTCAAGGCTGTCTTGGGTCTAAGGAGTGGGGAGGAGGAGTACTCTGGAGCGGCAAGGTCACACTCACACAGCACCACACTTGCTTATCACTTCCGCAGAGGGAGGGCCTGCAGCGGGGTGGCGGCTAGAGGGTCTGTGACCTAACATGTCTGTCTATGTTTCTGATAGTGCTTTCCTGACATGGAGGTCCTAGCTCTTCCTGGGCATTACCAAGAACTCAGGTGTGTGGAACTGGCTGGACAGGCTGAAGGGGCTCAAGGGTGTAAGTACAATGGCAAGAGAAATAGTGTGGAGATCCAGGCAACCTGGAAAGAAATTGTAGGTTCAGCTCGAGGCCAAGGCCACCCAGGCTTCCAGGCTCCCAGGCTTCCGAGAAGCTAGGGAGAAATGGGGAGGTAGAGGCACAGAAACGTGTGAATCCCAGGGCAGCCTCTGGCAGCAAGCCAGCCAGCCTTACAGCAAAGGAGCCTCTGGCTGGGGGGTCTGCAGACCACAGGCCCCAGGTGTCAGCAGGAGCCCTAAGAAGCCACACGGGGAAGCCTTTCTGACAGCATCTCCCACCTCATTGTGGGGGTGGGGTGGGTGGGTGGGGACGGGGGGGGGGGGAGGGGGGAACGACAGAAGGACGGACTACCCTGCCTTGCAGAAGAAGGAGCCCTTTGCCCTGGAGTGTGGGAGGGCAAACAGGATTAATAAGAACAATAGGGGGATGTCAACAGTTTGAGAAAGAGGTGAGAGGGGAACAGAGAAAGAGAACATAAAAGGACAAAATGATGTGTGTGTGTAATTTCTATGCTAAGGTTAACTCTCCTGAGTGCTAAGGAGCTCCCAGATATCTAGGAAGGGAAGATAGGGGAAAAAAAAATCAGAAATCGCCAGGCGATGGTGGTGCACACCTTTAATCCCAGGACTCAGGAGGCAGAGGCAGGCAGATCTCTGTGAGTTCGAGGCCAGCCTGGTCTACAGAGTGAGATTCAAGACAGGCACCAAAACTACACGGAGAAACCCTGTCTGGAAAAACAAAACAAAACAAAAATCAGAAATCCCGACTGGACAGTGTCCAGAAAGCACCATTTATGTATCTCCTGATTCCACGAACTGAAGCTCAGGATATTCTTGTTCAGGAAAAAACATCTCCCCGAGACTCTAGGTGATCAGCAGGTACACTTTGGGGTTCAGAGGACTCACAGCCGGCAGGGAGAGATTCCTGTCAGTGGCACAGATACTTGCAGGCGGAACACCTTTCTGCCCACTTCAGGAACCCATTCTAAAGGTTACACATGCACACGGAGTGGGGCACGCCACGCTCTCACTTGTGGTGAGAGTTGTACCAGCTAAGGTGGGGAACCTCCCAAGGGCTACTGCTACTCGGCTGTCTGGGTACACTGACGCATGACCCCTCCCCCACCATCACATGGCCCAAGAAAAGAGCCCACAGGTCCTTCTTCAGGCTGTGCTGATGCATAAAAATGTCGGTGTGCTGCTGGTGGCCACATTTGGCCTAAGGAGGAGAATGCCAACACAAGCAACTGTTTCTAGTGTTGGCAAAAAAGAAATAAGACACATAACCCAGGTGGAAGGGTGGAGCCCAGAAGAGGAGACAAGGACAGAGCAATAGGGGTGGAGGCAGAGGGATGCACATCTGCCAATGCACCTTGCCCTGGACTTCTGGCTTTGTAATAATGTGGACATTCTTATACACACAGTAAAAATGGTAGGTTAAAAAAAAATCCCTTGAGCTTGGCAGATGAAAAAGTGGTGCACACCTGAAATCCGGCTCTCAGGAGGTGATGACAGGGAATCAGGAGTTTAAAGGCTTTTTTTTTTTTTTTTTTGGTTTTTGGTTTTTTGAGACAGGGTTTCTCTGTGTAGCTTTGTGCCTTTCCTGGAACTCACTCTATAAACCAGGCTGGCCTCGAACTCACAGAGATCCGCCTGCCTCTGCCTCCCAAGTGCTGGGACTAAAGGCGTGCACCACCTCCTCCTGGCTAGTTTAAAGTTTTAAAGGATTTCTGTGCCTGTCCATGGACCAGGTCTCTCTCTGTCTCTCTCACACACACCTACCTCTCAAAACAGCCGCAGTAACAAAACCCTTAGAAATAGAAAACAAGATAAAAACACCCAGCTGTGTGTCCCATTGGCAGGAGCCTCACAGAAAGGATACATAGAAAAAGGTAGCCACTGCCTCCTCCTCCGAATGCTGTTCTCTGAAGGCCCAGCTTGTGTGACACCATCAGGACGAGATGACCTGCAAAGAGACAGATGCTGGAGTTCAGTTGCAGCCTTCTTGTTCGTGGTGACAGCAGTGTGATTTTGAAACATCACAAAGCAAGCAAACACGTGAATGTTAAGAATGATGTCTTCCTCCGCCCCAGCATTTTGTGGAAAGAGACACAGGTTAAAAAGATGATAAATAAAAACTTTGAAACCTTGAATTTGAAGTGACGAGCGAGTGAATGTTTCTGGGAACAGTCTGTTCACGTTTTCTGGCCATTTCTCCTTTAGGAGAGGGTGCCTGTTTCCTTGTGCTACAGTTCTGGTAGGGGTTGTCCTCCAAAGGTTTATAAGCTCAGAGCTTTATCCAAATCTGGCGGTTTGAGGGGTGGGACCTTTAAGAGGTGGGACCTCATGAAAGCTCTTGGGGCTCACCCTGGAGGGGAGTGGATTAATGCTATCTGGGGAGTGGGTGGATTCTCCTGGGATAGGATTAGTTCACAGTAGTGGGGGGGTCTGAAAGAAAATTCAGCTTTCTTGGCTGACTGCCTCGTTTCCTCTCTTACCATGCAACCTCCATGGTGCGCGTGTGTGTGTGTGTGTGTGTGTGTGTGTGTGTGTGTGTGTGTGTGTACATGTGCCACAACATATAGAGGTCAAGTGTCTGTGGAGGTCAAGGGTCTGTCCCTGCCTTCCACCTTGTTTGGAATAGGTCTCTTGTTCACTACCACACACTCCAGGGATTTCTCCATCTCCACTTCCCAGTTCCCATAAAAGCACTGAGAATACAGCGCTACTGTGAGCAGCTGTGTGTGGGCTCTGGGAATCCAAACTCAGGTCCTCACTCTTGTATGACACTTTACCCGCTAAGCGCTTTACCCTGTCTTTTCTTTGTATGTGACCCAGTGTCGGGGCATGTGGCACTGAGCATCCTCAGGGTGGGCTTCGGATATTCTTGTAAGAGGCAAGAACTGCAGGAAAAGGTAAGACTCTAGGGCAGGAAGCAGAGGGACCATGTGGGAGTTCCCAGAGCTGATCAGTAGCACAGAAAGTGCTGGTGTCCTGTGCAGCACTGCACACACCCATGTGGTTGCAGTATAGAGCACACACACACACTCTGCAATCGCTTAGAATGTCACCTGACTTCAGATCTGACAATCCACACCCAGCTATTGTCTGGAGAGCCTGGGAAGTTCATGTCCACACCAAGGCCTGGGGTGTAAGAACCACTGTGGTGGTATCTGCTCTGCCCATGACCTTGGGCTATAGGGCCGGAAGGAGGTGGTGCTTCCTGTTCTTGTCTGTGACCTCTGTTAAGGGAAGGAGAAGGGTCACATGCCCCTTCTTCCTGCTCCTGCCTGCGAGGTGGATTTGCTCCAGGTCACATCAGAGGACGACTTCTGATCTGTCTACTCTGTTCTGTATTCGGGAGTGTATTTCTTCAATTTATATCTTAATAAATCCCTGTTACCCGTTTAATAGACTCACATGGATTGATTGTCATAAACCACAGCCGGTGTCCAACACCTAACAGACAAGGCTACTCGTGGATATTCATCTGAGCAAGTGCTCCTCAGCGAGGCAAAGGACGAATTGCTAGGCCGTAGTGACACACGACAGGGAACGACACAAAAGTACATACCATGTGTGTTGGCTAGGCTTTTTTCTTGCTATTTTTTTCTTTTTTGTTAACTAAACAAACACAAGCTAGGGCCATCTGGGAAGAAGAAATTTCAACCGAGAAAATGCCTCCATCAAATTGGCCCTTAGGCATGTTTGTGGGGACATTTTTCTTGATTGATTTGGGAGGGTCCGGTCCACTAGGGATGGTGCTATCCTTGAGACAGAGTGTCCTGGTTTATGTAAGAAAGCAGGCTGAGCAAGTGATGGGAGCAAGCCAGTGAGCAGCACCCCTCCATGGCCTCTGCTTCAGTTCCTGCCTCCAGGTTCCTGCCTTAAGCTCCGGCCCTGACTTTGCTCCATGTTGGACTGTGACCTAGAAGTTGTACACTGAAACAAATTCTTTCCTCCCCAAGTTGGTTCTGGCCAGTGTTTTACCACAGCAAAAGAAAGCAAACCAAGACAACGTGGATTTCCCCTCTCAGGGCAGACAGCACTTAGCTACAACCTTTTTGGTTGTGAGCCTAGACTTTAACTGCTGAGGCATCTCTCTCCAGTCCAAATACAGACTTTTCAAATTTCCTATTGGTTGTCTTAGGAAGGGAGGAAAACTGTGAGTGAGCAGGAGGGAATTTGGTGTGTGTGTGTGTGTGTGTGTGTGTGTGTGTGTGTGTGTGATGGCAATGTCTGATTTGCAGAGGGCCTTGGGTGTCATGTAGCTGATAGAGCTTGCTGTGGAATGTCTCACCCGTTTTACTAAATGAGATTTTTACCTCTGATATCACAGAGCACTGTTGAATGGCCAATGGCATACATGCTGAGGTCTGGGGGCGGGGGAGACTATGCAGATGTCCACAGCTTCTTTTGAAGCCTTTCAAGAAGGCCAGATGGGAGGGAGGGTTGGAGGGACAGGGAGACACCTTGCAGGCTAACAGAGCATGTGCTGTTGGGCATGTGGATGCTGGTTGTTCAATTCTTCCAACTTTGTTCTGGCCACAAAGTTTTCCATAATGAAACACCTATGTTGGAGGATGGACCGTTCAACCTGAAGAGGCACCACTGGTCATGGGCACACTTCTAATCCCAGTACAGGGGAGGTGGAGACAGGAGGATCCCCGAAGCCTGCTGGCTACCAGGCCAGCCTATTTGGCGAGCTGAAGAGGCAGCATGGCAGCTTGGAGTAACCTTTGTGAGAGAGCGCCACATGTTAGATGCTTAATCCAGGAGAGGCTTACTCTCATTATCTCACGAAGTTCAAAGCTAAAGGTAGGTTTTGCTGTCCTGTACTGAAGCCAGGGTCTTGTGAATAGCAAGTAAGAATGATACTCCCAAGCCACTCGCCGAGGCTAGAAGGTTTCTGGGTTTGTTTGTTTTTGAGCTAAGCTCTCTGTAACCCAGGCTGGCCTAGAACTCATGATGTAGCCCAGGCTGGCCTAGAACTCATGATGTAGCCCAGGCTGGTCTCCTCCTGCTTTAGCCTTCCAAGTACTGGAATTACAGATGTGTGACACCATACTCTACCAAGGCTAGAAGTTTTTAAGTCAAGGTGTCAGCAGGGCCACACACTCTCTGAGGGTCTAGAGAGTCTTCCTCACCCTTCCAAGCCTAGCTGCAGGCGTGGCTCACGGCCACAAGACATCCTCACCGTGCATCTCTTCTTCTGGCTCCTGGTGGGGCATGTCACTAGGAAGGTTTAGGAAACAATGGTTTCTTTATGCTGTGGGTGTTAGCCGCTGCAATAGGGCCATCTTCTGTGACTCCTCCAAGCTTGGTCTCTAACTGTTCAAAGGGATCCTGGCAGCACTGACCTAAGCAGCAAGCCTCAGCTGGCCCTTCACCCCTCAACCCTGCCATCTGCTCTCCTCTGTCTAGCTCTGGGGTTCCTGGGCCCTGGGCAGCTAATGGCACCCAGAATGGGACCCTGGTGCTGTCCCTGGTTCTGACATGAGTGTTGGGAGGCCACTCCAATTTGCCAGTCCTTTGTCTAAAAAAGAGGCATGGGGAGCTGGAGAGTTGGTTCAACAGTTGAAAGCACTTGCTGATTTTGTAGGGAACCGGGGTTCGATTTCCCTCACACTCATGGTGGCTCACAATCATCTGTAACTCCAATCTCAGGGAATCTGATGTCCTCTTCTAACCTCCGTGGGTAAATTTGTAATCCCAGCACAGGGGAGATGGAGATAAGGCCCACTGGCTCAAAAATCAGTGTACTCTCTCTCCCTCCCTCTCTCTCTTTCCTTGGCTGGCTTAGAACTCGATATGCAGACCCAGCTGGCCTGGAGCTCACAGAGATCTGCCTGCCTCTGCCTTCTGAGTGCTGGGACTAAAGGCGTGTGCCACCATGCCCAGTCCAAGATGGACAGTTTCTGATGAACCACGTCCACATTGACTGCTGACCTCCACAAACATGTACATACATGTGTACCCCCTCCACACGAACATACACACACAGCTGCAGATACACACCAAAAATAAATAAGTAAATAAACAAACACACAGTCCTTTGCATGGTATTCAGCAGAGTATCTCAGGCAGGGTCAAGCCCCACTGTCCTTGCTAACCCATGGCCTTAGGAACAGCAGTATGGGCCAGGGTAGGTTGGAAGAGGGTAGTCAAAGCCCACTTCCTGAGGGGGGCTGCCCAGGCTACAGGGGCCAGGTCACACCTTGGCCATTCATTTTCCATTTTTTTTTTTAAAGCCCTTTCTTCTGCTCATCATGGCTACCATCGTTCTTGCCTGCAAAAATCCTGATAGGGAAAACCAACAGACCGCAAGCATCAGGAGGAAGTCAGAGTAGCCTGGAAACCAGGTTGGGAATCTCGTCTCCCTGGCAACCAAGTCCAGCCTGGGGAGAGCAGGTCTCAGGCTCTCCATTTTCCGTGCTCCCGAGGGGCCAGCCCTCCCCTCCTCACACATTATTTTCTCTCCAGTCTAGCTTCCTCCTCTACCCTGCCCCCACCCCAGCTCATGCATACGCTAGGTCTTACGCACCTGTGTTTTTCAGTGTGGCAGGCAGAATCGCTTTCAAATGTAGGGGCTTAAAACAGCACATTCATTTCTCTCTTGGTGCCTCTGGGAGGAATTCGGTGCTCTGCTGGGGACTCTGGACTGTGATCTCACATGAGGCTGGGGCTTCTGGCCCATCTGAAAGGTTGCCGGGGGGGGGGGGGGGGGGAGTCCACTCCCAGACTCATTCATGGGGCATTGGCAGGCTCAACCCTTGTCATCCGAGCTACTTCACGATGTGGCAGGTGGCTATACCAGGATTGGAACCATGGACCTGCTGAGGGGAACCAAGACAGGAGCCATAGTCTTTGTGGTTCACTCTTGCAGGTGCTGTCTTTGTAAAAAGCAAGTTCATTTAGCTTGGGCTGAGGGAGGGGCGGGGGAGCAAGATCACAGGCCGAGGATGCCTGAGGGTGGTGTCTGGGGGAGCTCATTTTACCACCTCTCCTTCATACTGAGATGTGGGGCCACAGGGACCTCCTACATCTCTGAACAGAAGTTTGTCAGAGGTTTTCATCTTGGGAATGGGCTGGCTGTGCTCCGGAGAGTCTCCCATGCCACCATGGGCCCCTCACAGCCACACCATGCCTGTAT